AAACTTTTACTCCTGTGTCCGTCTAGTGGTGTTCTGCATATTTGGGTCACTCTCCGTGCACCCATCATGACAAAGACCTTTTAACATGACTAGAAACCCCAATGTACAATTAATACAATACAAAATCCTCCACAGAGTGCACTATACAGGTCAGAGATTATTCAAGATAATATCTGTCCACAGTGCAGAGGCAATCATCTTGATCATTATATTCATGCGTTATCGTTATGCACACCAGTTCAGAGGTTCTGGGTACAGGTATGTAAGGACTTATCACTGTGCCTGGGTTGTAAAATCTCACTTTCCCTTTAAGTTTCCTAGCTGGGTGACTTTGAGGGAAGCTCTCTGGAAAAAAAAAATCAGTTTGCATGGCCTTCACTGTATTATGTATCGCAAAGAAAACTATCCTCATGGATTGGAAAAGTAGGGATAAACTAAGCATCAATCAGTATAGAGATCTGGTGTTGGATCATATTAATCTTGAGACAGCATCTGCATCCCCATCAGACCGATCTCTCTGGGCTCCTTTGATCGGCTCCATCACTTAGTTAAGTTTGGGGCTGTGGGGTGTGTCCTACGGGGCGCAGGGGCTGGTTCGGGGGTCTTTGTGTCCTGGGGGGCTCGGAGGGGGTGCTCGGAGTGGGGTGCCTGATGGGTCTCAACCCTGGGACCCTGGGTCCGTTACCCCCATCGTGGGGGGCTTGGGACGGATTAACTATGGGGTGGCTGGCTGCTGGCGGAGCCTGCGGACTCATCCCCGCGGCTCCCCAGGGCTCCGGCATTACGGTGGCTGGGGGACTTCCTCCCTTGGTCAGATTTCCTGGGCTGGACCCTCCTTGGTGCCTTCGCTCTTGGGGTCCCTTTGGGCGTCTGGGGCTTTTGGTCTCCTGGCGCTGGACTCAGTGCTCTGACAGAGCACCTCTTCGGCTCTACACAACCACTATTGACCATTTTTTTTCTTTGGAACGAACAGTTGGAACAACCAACACCAACTCTCCCACAAAATTCTACAGTTAAAAAAGATTCAGTAAATCCTTTCTGAAGAAATTGTTGTCTTTATTTCTCTACTTTGGTCTATAACCGTAGTTTGCTTTCACACACACATNAAAACTCTAAGCCAAGGTCTACTCAGAAAGAGAAGTAAGACGCTGAAGCAGCTTGCGGACTCTGCTGATCAACTCCTCGCCAGATCCAACAGTGACCCTCTCAAAGCTATCGACAAGAACCCTCAAGGTACAATCAGTAACAATCAAGAAAGCTACTCCAAAGTACAACGCTAACTGAACTGTCTCTCACGCAGACTCCGGTGAACCAGTTTCCAGGCCTGAACCAGAACCAGTCATATCAGTGTGCTTGTGACAAAATAAACTTGTAAAACTTTTACTCCTGTGTCCGTCTAGTGGTGTTCTGCATATTTGGGTCACTCTCCGTGCACCCATCATAACAGGAACCTGGAAGCGCGCTTCAACTTCCCAGTTTGGAGGTAAATGCATCACTGGATTAAAGTTGCCCCTAGCTGGTCCAGCATTTACTTTTGGCCTAAAAAGAAGAGCTGCAGAGGGAAGCTGACAAAAGAAACCAGCTGGATGTTTCAATCATCCTTTTATCACCATCTCAGATTATTAATGGTACAAAGTTTGCTTTCCCTCTGGTTATAAAAACAGTTTCTACTGAAGCGTCTGTAAATGAAGACGCTGAAGAGGAAATGAACCAGCATTTGTTGGAGCTGAGATCATGTGGCTTCTACTCATCAATGTTTGAATCCAACTTCATGGAACGTCTGATGGATGCGAGCCGCTTCATCTTCTTCTGCTCCATCCCACTGGGTTCCTCAGACACTGAAGCCTCAACAGAGAAGCACGTTTTTATTGAAGAGGTCTTGTGTTACCAGCATCTCCTTCACCTCAGACAGCAGATCCCAGACCTGCTGAACATCTCTGTGCCTTGGATTGTTATTAAGGACCTGAAATCTGTTCCCCACTTTCTGTAACAAAATCTTCATCTGGTCTCCATTCTTCTGCAGCTGGGTTTTAACATCTGGTTCCGCCTGGTCCTGGTGGGTGAAGAGGATCATGGTTCGGCTCCAAACGTTTTCCCCAAACATCTCCTCCATCTGCTTCACTGTTTCTTCAACATTTGTGGTGAAGAATCCCAGTCTGACAACCAGCAGGACGGCGTGGGGAGCAGGACTCCACAGGTTGATGCATCTGAAGATCTCCTTCTTCAGATCAGGGTTAGACCTTCCAGAGAGCCCTGGGGTGTCGATGATGGTCACCTCCCTGTTGAAGATGGTCCCTCGCTGCAGACAGCACTGGCTTACACCTGAGGACAGAGAACAAGCTTTGATACCTGAACATTGACCCAGTCAACCTCTGACCTTAAGATGTGCAGCAACAGTTAGAAGGAACCTCTGGGCCCACAGTTTCCTCTTTGCATTTCCAGTCAGCCCGGATTAAGAGGAAGTGTTAGGTTTATTGAAGACAGTTAATGTGTGTACATATGAAACATTGAAGACATGCCTCCAGCCAGAAGGTCATCACAGGGTCATTCTGTCTTATGACCTGCCTCCAGCTGATTGGTCATTACAGGGTCATTCTGTCTTATGACCTGCCTCCAGCTGATTGGTCATTACAGGGTCATTCTGTCTTAAGACCCACCCCATCCTGTTGTGATCTGCTAATAAAAAGGCTTCTGCTGAGGAAACCCACCAGAGAGCAGATGTGGCTGAACGTGGCTCTCTCCCTCTGCAGAGGCCAAAAATCCCTATTCTGTGCGGACTCAGTTTCTCTTTTGTGAACCTACATTTTTGAACGTAACAGGAAAAACTTTTACATTTATGAAAGTTTCCTGAAAGAACATTTCATGGTGTTGGTTTATAAATTAATATTTAATGTTATGAGACACAGCTTCCTGGATCACCTCATCCAGTTCTGTTAGTGTAAACATCATAATCTACACCAGGTTCTGATTCAGCTCCTCTTGGAATCGAAGTCCAGATATGAGGAGCTACAGTAGAAAGTGTGGTTGGACACCTGGTCCTGTGGAGGGTATGAAGGTTTCCAGTGCATGGGGCATGTCATGGTAAGTTAAGGGAAAGATAAATAGACCTAGTGTTCTGGTGGACCCAGAGCCATTAACTGGTGTTGATGTGGGAGTTTGTGTGAGTTACCTGAGGGAGGAATAAAGGCTGTTCTGCTGGTGCTGAAGGCGGTTCTTCCCAGTATGGTGTTCCCACTGGAGCTCTTCCCCACTGCAGGCCACCCAACAAGAACCAGCTGGATGTCTGTAACTGGACCATAGAGTTGGCATTTAACCCAGAAATTCTGTGTGAAACTGGAGGGAAATTAGATTAATATTGCCTTTTTTATATGACTTTTATTTTACCTGCACTGAAAAGAATTGAAATCTAAATAAGTAATTTTAACAAGAAAACTGTCTGGCATTGTATTGTCTTTTTTCCAGTGAATATTATCTAGTTATCTTATTTTTAGAGTAAAAATACCAATTCAGTTGGCAAATCATCTCATTTATCTTCTCAAATTAAGGGTAAATAGACTTAATGTAGGACATTTTTACTTATTTGTAGATCCCAACTGGACAACCTTCAACATTGTCACGTCAGAAGAAGCAACACAGCTAACAACCAAGAATAAACTGTGTGGATGTCAACATGTGCATGAGTCTATGATGGAGCTTGTGTTCAAAACATGGACTCAATGGTCAAAGTCAAAGAGTTTGTTGTTTTGGAGCCGATGTGTGTTCAAATGCCATCGACCCAGGAGATTATAGCGATCGCAGTGATGAGTCTGAAATGGGTCATTATTGATTAAACTGGTGCCTGAATGGTAAAGACTGTCCAGTTTTTTTAGGATAGTGTTTGATGATTTTGTAAAGAATATTTCCACAAACAAGAATAGGCAGTAATGTCATCTTCACCAGGGTGCTTTTTGTGGGATGTGAATTTACTGCGGAAAGGAAATTATACCTTTGCTTTGATCTTTGCTTGCATTTTATCAATTTGCTTTATGAGGAGACGAGTAATGCCAGATACCGAAGTATTTGCACGTGGTGGCAAAGTCCAAAGCTGTATCACTGGCACAGGTCATTGTGGGATAATCAGTGTGAAAATGTTCCTCCTAAATAAAATAAGGTATTTTATTATATATATGACGTATTTGTAGTATTGAGATGAAATGGAAGCTTATTAAATACTTATTCAACAGATGTAGTGCTGATGATGATGAAGGATAGAAGCCACATTTTCCACGGAAGGATTTACATATAAGATAGTATCATCAGCATAAAAGCAGATTTGAAAGCCATGATCGGTTTTAACTGTTTCATTTATGTAAATGGAAAAAAGGGCCAGCCTGAGGATGGAGCCCTGTCGCACCTCCTACGAGACTCTGATGTTACATTTTCCACCATCATCTGCTGCACACTATTAGAAAGGCAGCCTGAAGACAGGCTAATACTGGAAAGGCTTTTAAAAAGGATCTCATGAATGACAGTGTCAAAGCTGTTTATAAGATCAACACAGGTGGCATTAAAGAGCTGCTTATTGTCTGTTGCTATGACGACCTCATCTGTATCAAAGCCACCTTAAAAAAGAGGAAAAACAGGAGGAAGGTTGGAGACGCATAAAGATATTTTGTACCTAGAGCAGCTATGTGAGCAGAGGCTTTCGAAAAATTTGAGTCTAGGTCAACAGACCTGGCAGATTTATTAATGTTTGATTACTGAGCTTTCCCTTAACCTCTAAGAAAAAAAGTGAAAGAAAAACTAGAATCGCTAATTGGAGAATGTCTAGGATCTAGATTAATTAAGTCTGCTGGCAGAACATCAGTGGCTGGGTTTGGAAATGCTTGGGAGTCATTCACAAAGTGGTTTTTCAGAATTTTAAATGGAAAAGCCCAAATAAATCATGGATATTGTTGGGATCTGGAGGTCTGTCCACCTTCCTCCAGCTGAGGGCGCCCTAGGTCTCCTGGAGCTGAGCTGACGACCACACCTGCAACTCATTAGTCATCAGGAGACCAGCAAATAACCAGCGGCAGGACTACACTCCAGCGCCAGAGTGTTAAGCCAGTTATGGTTAACGAAGCCTGGCCAACCAGCCTGCCTGATTCTCTGACTCCCCTGAAACCAGAACCTGAACCTAATCAGTTTTTGTCTTCTCTGCTTCTTAGGAAGAAACCCGACTGAACCCTGGAACTCTGGAAGAGTTTCTCTGCTGAAATCTGCCTGCCGGCTCTCAGGAGCTCATCTGAAGAATCTAACCGTCTGAACCTGCCTGCCCGCCCTCAAGAAGAGGATCGGAAGAAACTCTGGACCTGAACACTGATAAGTCTGAAGTCGAGCCCTTCCGTTGCTTAGCCCTCTGCCAACTTCTAGCCTCTGGTCCCACCTGGTTCCCTCCCTCTGCTGCTAAACCTGAATCACGTCACAGGTACAAACCTGCACAATTCCTCTGACAAAGATCTACAGCATCCTGGCTAACCTAACTGTCCCTCTCTACAGAGAACCCTGTGTGACCAGTCCCGGATCTGTTTTCCAGCATCTTTCAAATAACATTGTGTTTGTTTTAATAAACAGCCAAACTTTTCATCTGCCTCCGTTGTGTTCTGCATGTGGGTTAGAAATCTGAATCCCATCATGACAGATATGAGTCACTGACTTAAATCAAGGTTTCCTTAGATAGAAAAAAAAAACTTTAAACCAATCTGTTTAGATGAATACATAATTTAGTGTCAGATTAATAATGAACTCAAAATATGTTTTTTCTGAGTCTGTTGTAAGCTCCCTGTGTTGTTTATTATTATTGTCATTTAGGTCTTTCCATACTGTTCCTTCCTTTGTACTGGTTTCTCGGTTCGTTCATGTGTACCTTTGGTTTAGATGTATTAAATCTTACTTTAGGTTGAGTTTGTTGGTGTTGGTTGAGTTTGAATTCTTCTCGTCTACCTGTCAACCTCTCCTGCAGGGAGCTCTCCTTCTCCAGAGGACCGCTCCAGCCCGGCCACAGACTCTTCACCGCCACTTTAGCGTCAGAAAATCTGATTTCTGCCATATTCTTTGGAACGTAATTAATGTCTTCCAGATGGCAGTACTTCAGATTTTTTCTCAGTTGATCAGCTTCAAACTTCAGCACCTGCAGAAGGAAAAACTACAACTTCAGCAGTGTTTAAAATCTGTGCTTGTTCTCTGATGCTGCTTCCTAGAGATGTAAATATGTTGGATTCCATAATCTCATTTTATGAAACTACTGATCAGTCATTGTTTGAATGTCTAAATCCCGCTGAGGCAGAATTAAGATCCATTTAGATGAAGGATCAACCGTCTTCTCCATATGGAAAAACTACAACCTGGTGGTATAGATGATGATAATTACTTTGTTAGTAGCAGATAATATTACCGAATCTTTCAATTCAATATATTGAGTGAACCACAGAGCCAAAGAGTCTCTGGTAATCTGGAACTGCAGCTTGCCGGCCGCTGATCTAATTTATAAAAACTGATCCTATCTCAATATGGCTGAAGCTAAAGGTAGAATTCCTCCATGTTAAAGTTCAAGTAAAACTGCAAAGGTTAAAAATAAATTGATTCAAGGTGTCCTTCAGTTATGGTTCTGCGCTAACAGATATTATAACATCAAATTAATTCAGCATCATGTCTTCTGGACAGGGGCAATCTCTAACAAGGATACTGGACCTGTTATCAGGGATATGTACAGTGGATATGTACTCCACTCCCCGCTCTGATTGGTCAATGATCACACCTGCACACTGGTCCCGTTCACTTTCATCAGCACTCATTCCTTCCACTTGTCTTCTAGTTTTTTAATCAAATTCAACTAGTTGATGGGGCCAGATAATTGAAAACCATTGGAATGTAAATGTCCAGCGTTCCTTCTCTGACTTATTGTCTGTTTCTGATCCAGTTTCTGATTTTCTCGCCTTTGCCATGCCCCTTTGCCACGCCCGTTCCTGACCTTACTGTGTTTTTCTGATTTTTGGACATCTACTACATTTCGGCCTCTTCGCCACCGCCTCTCGCCTAGTCCTATGACCTGTGAGCCTGATTCTCCCTCCAGGGGTCTGACCCCATTCTGTGCCACGACTCCAGATTCTTGCTATCCCCTCTCCCTGCCTCTGTTCTCTCAGCTCTGATCCTTTTTCTGTCCCCTGACCAACTACCTCTGTCTCTACACAAGAAAACCAAAATGGAGAATCTTCTTTAGAGCAAGTGTCTGCATTACTCCTTTCATTTATCTAATTCAAGCACCACGAAATTTGCTCTTGGAGTTGTTGTAGGTTAATTTTTATTTTATTTTCTGTTACTGCTCACCATATTCACTCACTGGCCACTTTATTAGGTAAGCCATGCTAGTAACGGGTTGGACCCCCTATTGCCTTCAGAACTGCTTCAATTCTTCGTGGCATGGATTCAACAAGGTGCTGGAAGCATTCCTCAGGGAGTTTGGTCCATATTGACATGATGGCATCACACAGTTGCCGCAGATTTGTCGGCTGCACATCCATGATGCGAATCTACCGTTCCACCACATCCCAAAGATGCTCTATTGGATTGAGATCTGGTGACTGTGGAGGCCATTTGAGTACAGTGAACTCATTGTCATGTTCAAGAAACCAGTCTGAGATGATTCCAGCTTTATGACATGGCGCATTATCCTGCTGAAAGTAGCCATCAGAAGTTGGGTACATTGTGGTCATAAAGGGATGGACATGGTCAGCAACAATACTCAGGTAGGCTGTGGCGTTGCAACGATGCTCAATTGGTACCCAGGGGGCCAAAGAGTGCCAAGAAAATATTCCCCACACCATGACACCACCACCACCAGCCTGAACCGTTGATACAAGGCAGGATGGATCCATGCTTTCATGTTGTAGACGCCAAATTCTGACCCTACCATCCGAATGTCGCAGCAGAAATTGAGACTCATCAGACCAGGCAACGTTTTTCCAATCTTCTATTGTCCAATTTCGATGAGCTTGTGCAAATTGTAGCCTCAGTTTCCTGTTCTTAGCTAAAAGGAGTGACACCCAGTGTGGTCTTCTGCTGCTGTAGCCCATCTGCCTCAAAGTTCGACGTACTGTGCGTTCAGAGATGCTCTTTTGCCCACCTTGGTTGTAACGGGTGGTTATTTGAGTCACTGTTGTCCTTCTATCAGCTCGAACCAGTCTGGCCATTCTCATCTGACCTCTGGCATCAACAAGGCATTTCCGCCCACAGAACTGCCGCTCACTGGATGTTTTTTCTTTTTCGGACCATTCTCTGTAAACCCTCGAGATGGTTGTGCGTGAAAATCCCAGTAGATCAGCAGTTTCTGAAATACTTAGACCAGCCCTTCTGGCACCAACAATCATGCCACGTTCAAAGTCACTCAAATCACCTTTCTTCCCCATACTGATGCTCGGTTTGAACTGCAGGAGATTTTCTTGACCATGTCTACATGCCTAAATGCACTGAGTTGCCGCCATGTGATTGGCTGCTTAGAAATTAAGTGTTAACGAGCAGTTGGACAGGTGTACCTTATAAAGTGGCCGGTGAGTGTAGGTCTGCTCATGTCCTGCATTTTATATGAAACTTTGCAGGAGTGCTTCAATTGAACTCCATCTACTGTTTTCCATTACTTTATTTGGGTGAAGTGTTGATTTCTGCCTTAAATATAAGAACAAATAATTCATAATTGAAGTCTGAAACTGAGTAAATTATTGTTTTCATTGATACCTACAGCTAAGTGCAAACTTTTTATCAATCTTATGGGTCTCTGACTAGAAACACCTTTGCAGCAGTGATATCCGTGATAGGCTTTCATACAGGAGCCTTTTAAATTTTTTTACTATTATACAAATCAGCAAAGCTCAGGGAATCTTATCAGCACTGGGAGTGTGCTCTCGGGTCATAAAGTGATGTGTGGACAGAACATTAACATAAATGAATAACTAGTAACACAGTAAAATTTAATCACCTAGATATAATAAGACATAATCATGGTATAATTAGTCTCTCCTAGCTCAGATATCTGGGGAGTATCAGTGCTCCAACGTTTACTGGCTTGTGTAACAGGATACACCTTCTATGATGTTTTCCTGTTAGTACAGCAGACCAGGGTTAGCTCAATAAACTTGCCATGGAGCAGAATTGGTTCATGGAGTATGTAGCAGTGGTGGGTTGATCCAGGATCCTGCCTTTTTCGGAAACAAATACTCAGCATATGCTCTTACTTAAGAACTTACTCTGAGTTTTCAATAAGCCCACTGAAATGGACTGATGATCAGTTAAAGTACTTGGAGACTATAGTACCTGTGTTTTTCCAACATGCAGTGCAATAGCAGCATGGTTCCAGACGTAATGCAGATTTTCAGCTGCAGCACAGACCTCCAGCTGCTGGCTGTCATGTCTGCAGAACAGCTCCCACCTGAAAGAAGGAAGAGGCTCAGTAAATGCTGGACTGCCTATAGCCACTGTGAAAACAAACCACCCTGTTATCATCCAACACTGGTTCTCTATACAGACCCAATAAACATGACGGTTGTAAGGTCCCCATCCAAAGCACATAAAGTTCACCATTATGCACAGACAAAGATTATCCCCTAGAGACCATCTTATTCGCCAAATTCAGCCCAACGTCAGAGCGGGAGGTTAAGAGAAATTACAAAAAGCCCAGAATCTCTGTTAGAAGAACACATTATAGGAAGAATTTTAAAATAAAAGAAACTTCCAGCAATCTTCTTTCTTTATCTAATGATATTTAATCATTATCTAATGATTTGTGAAGTCATTAAAACTGAAATATCCCAAACTTCGCTGCTCTTACCAATGTGTCTCACACATGGCCTCTGGTCTCCAGATAAAATGGCCATCCCTGTAAGCGCAGATGCCATCTGGGTCATTGGTGAGCAAAGGGTAGCGGGAGAAGTTCTGGTTAGTTGGACTGTGGACCAGAACGACATGCATCACCTCTTGTTTATATAGGACTGTCCTGTAAACCCGCATTATGGGCTCAGAACCGGAGCAAAACTGCAAGAAAACCACAAGCTGGTAAACATTTCCAG